TGTTGAGCAAAGCGTATAACAATAAGTTCTAAATATTGAATGTGTTTCCTTGTTAGTTTATCATCATAAACTGAAACTTAGTCATTCATGATAATATTATTCATTCATTTAGAACACGTATATTAAGCTATAATAATCATAGTTTATGGATTCATAACACTAATGCATTTTCATAAAAGAGTTCTTATACATTACAAACGTTTTGGATAAACTATAATAGGTATAGTTTATGATTCATCACATAATACACTCATACAAAAAGGGTACATTCATACAAAAAGGTTCTACACTCACGCACACTACACGTAAACTCGTTAACTCAGGATGTGAGACTATCTCTCCTCGTACGTCTAAGTACGGGATCCCAATTCCTGTAAGTTATAACCAAAATCTCTTGTAGGGAGAGCGTGATAATTGTGTATAGATCTATATTGGGGTTGATATCCCACACCTCGCTGCTAGCTACAGCCGGACCGGCAGGTCTGCGGGTGACAAGAGTCATAGGATCAGGGCGTCTAAAAGACGTTATGCAGGTTACCTCTAGTCATAGTATGGTTATAGCGACTCACATAGGAAGCTAACAATACATAAAGTTTACGGGATTTTTTTTATAAAAAAAAGGGGGTTTTATGTCGATTTAAAATCACTTTTATATCAATAAGTATAGATATTACTGTACACTCTCGTTTAGGTAGTTATGACTACACATCATTTGAAACCACTTTTATATCTTTAAGTATGACAAATACTTGTTCGTTTTCAGTCCTGGTATTCAGGACCACATAACTTTTATAAGGAAAATATTGTATTTTTCTTGGTAACATATATCTCTTTACAAAGATCGATTTTCAAACTCTTACTGTCAAAAGCTTATGAACTCACCAACCTTTGTGTTGACACTTTTTTCAAAACTACTTGTATTCTCAGGAATTCAGTGAAACAGGAAATCAACAACGTTTTGAGGATGAGACGATAATTCGTCAAACAGTTCATTTTGTATCATAATGTAATTGATTTGAATCATGTAAAAATATACCTTGGTGTAACTTTTTCAATTATATTTAAGATGGTTGTATTTTACTTTGAGCACTATTATACTCGTTGTTGTGATACTCTACATAATGTTCTCCACCCCCGGACGTTTCCGCCATCCTTGGTTTGGGGGTGTGACACAGCAGGACCTGCCTCAACCCTTTCCCCAAACCAACAAACATGTGCACATACATATAAACAAGTAAGCATGCATATCTAACAGATCAATAATCATGGCAATCATCCTATAACTAGGATACCAATCTAACCAATCACCAGCATAGCAACCGTCCTATAACCAGATATTGATCCAATCGATCTCTAACATAACAACCATCCTGTAACCAAGATACTGATCTAACCGATATCTAACATAACAACAATCCTATAATCAGAATATATCACATATCATAACGTGTAATAAACCCAGATACAAATCTAAAAGGGGCCAACATTAGTGCCTTAGACCCAATTGATATAGTGAGGATAACTCACATCACAATTGTCGTGTTGAAGTGATAAGCTCAAACTCTAGGATCACCGTCACCAACTCCACCACCTATATTCACCATAGAACCATATCCATAAATTTCCAATTTCCCAAAATACCCCAGAAGTCAACTAGTCAATCCTTGGTCAAAGTTCAAGTCAATTGCCAAGATCAACAGTCTATGTTGATCCGACTTGTCGAGTGCAGTTCACCGACTCGTCGAGTCCTTCGTGAACTCGAGAAGTCATGAAATCCCCCATCGACTCGTCGAGTTTCCCTGCAACTCACCAAGTTCATGGATGTTCAAAAGTCAAGAAAACCCTAGCTGACTCGTCGGGTCTTCCTATTGACTCGTCGAGTCTATGCAGAAACCCTTACACGACAATCTTCATTGGACTCGCTGAGTTGACCATGCAACTCGCCGAGTCCCTTCAGTCCTTTTTCCATTCAGATACTTTTTAAGCCATTCTAGAGCTCCATAACGTAGATCTAAGCTCCTAAGACATACTTCTTACGTAAAGTTGCAAACTTTACGTACATGCAAGGTGATAATGACTTAAATCAAGCCAAAGAAGAGATTCTAGGCAAGGGAAATACATTAGCATTCTAAAGATTGATACTTTATGATTGTAAGGTCCAAGATGAGCCTAGATCTGAAGTTGCAACTTCAGATCTTGGTTCATCACTCGAAATGAAGTACCAACATACCAAAATGGCCCTAAAACTCAAATATAGAAGGATCTTGCTAGATGAAGATCAATGTAACAACTTGATACCTTCAAATGATGCTAAATTGGGGTAGACTTCAGATCCACACACGTTTCTTGCCTCAAACTTCTTGATCTTCAAGCTCCTCTCACCAAGATCCACCTTCCAAGCTTAAAACACACAAGTATTGAGAGAAAACGGCGATTTAGGGTTTCTGGACTCACAAGGGGTTGTAAGGGAGGCTAATAACCCTTTAAATAGGGTGCAAAACCCCGGAAATTAAGGTTTCATCCTCTAGCTCCAACTCTTCAAGTCGTGTCCTCCGACTTGCCGAATTGCTCACTTAAATTCGCGGTCCAAAAGCGTTCATACTCAACGAGTCAGGGCCTCAAACTCGTCAAATAAACTTTTCAATATGAAAGAATAAAGTTGAAAATTAATACCTGAGAGTCGGGGTGTTACATTCTTGTAATTTGTTATTTGATAAAACCATAAAAATAGCTTATTGTAGCTTATATACTAGTTTTTTATAAGCTACTTTTAAATAGTTTTTGAGAAGTTATGTCATTTTACATTTGTAATCTAGCTTATTAGTTGTTTTTTTATCAAACACTAATATAAGCTAGCTAGTTATGACAACTTAAAAAAAATAAAAAAATAAAAATAAAAATAAAAATAAAAAACCTCGAAAAATAAATTAATTGTTAGGTGTCAAACATACAATTTTAGTTATAATTTAGTTAAATGTTAATTAATGTAACATCTAGACCTTTCACTTTTTCCGTGTCACCTTATCGTTATTGTCATGTTATTTTTCTTTCACGACTGATATGAAATAGCCACGTCTCACTCTCATTTTTTTAATAGATATATAAAACTATAATTTAATAATTTTGTAAGTATTTAATATAACAAAAAAAGAATATTTCATTAATTCAATAATAAATAACATTACATAAAAACAATAATTAAATAAAAAACAATATAAAATAAGTATACTTGATATATTTTTTCCTCTCTTTCCCTTAAAACAATGACAATTTTGTCTTCGGAAACACGGTCAACATGTGATTTTTTGATTATTTTCTTACTTTTTTTGCTACTTTGCTCGCGCTTTTTCTTTCTTGGTCGATTTCTCTTTTCGAAAACAACTTTGAAATTCATGTTATATAATTCAAAACTATCTTGTGTATGTCATCAACTTTGTTGGCTCCCGATTCATTAGACGGATACCTTTTTTTAACCTTATCTCTACCTATCGGACGGACTATCGCTTCAAGTCCAATTTCATCATATTGGTTCAAATCAAACCCGAAACGAGCATCCGATGAAATTGTGAAAGTCTTCTTAGTTCTTTTTGTTCTTTTTGAACCACCTTCTTCGTGTTTTCCATAATTGTCATTCCATTTCTGGCAACCGAATAAAAACATCCAAATATCAAGAAATTTGAATGACATCCTTTTATTGTTTGATCTTAAATATTTCTATCACCGTCTCGAAAAAAATTGTATCATTTTCCCCGCTTTTTGTTGATTTTTCAAGTTGTTATACATCCATTGAACTTTTTAACCGTACTCACCACGACCCATTTATTTATGAAACTACTCTATAATGTGTAACCAAAAATGATCGTTCGCTTGCACATTTTCATGCTCATGCTCCTCGGAAATGTCGACGCTTTTCCTTTTCCTTTCGAGTCGAATGGTCACGGGTGAGTTTGGTTGCGTTTCCCATAGAAACTCAATTTCCGACTCAATTGGAGGTTGTCTTCCCAAACTAATTCTGTGAGAGGGGAAATTTTGTGAAATAAGGTAGTACCAACAAGTTGCATAGAGTAATATTGTGATGCATTTTGATAATGATAATGTTGGGTTTAGTGTTGAGGTGCAGATGAAAAAATAGGAACATTTAGTTGTGGTTGGTAAATCGACCGATCAAATGCAAAAATATTTTGAATCATTGTCGTCGAACCACTTCCATACATTTGTTTCGAATCTTGAAGTGAGATTGGTGGAAATGTTGTGGATGTATCTTGGTAAATAGAGGTTTGAATAGTGATAAAATTTAGTAAAAAGTTTTGTGAAATAGTAAGTAAAATGTCTATATTTATTAAGGTAAAAAAAAATTAATAAGAAACAAAAGAAGTGGGGTATTCTTCTGCAGAGTACCTCACTCCACTGAAGCTTTACCAACAAAACGGTGTGGTGTGCACCACACCACCACAATAAGTGTTGTGTGGTGTTAGTACATCTCAAAGTCTGTGTTGCTGAAATTTTGACAAAAAGTAACAATGAGAATGCTCTGTCAATGTAACAATATGTATCACTTGCACAAGTCATCAAATTAGGGATGTGTTGAGCTCAAAAATCGAAATAACTGACAACATAATGTGTAAGAAACTGATGAACAGACCGAACAGACCGATATAAGGGAACTGGTTCTGGTTCAGTTCTAGTTCGGTTCAGGTATGGTAGGTATGGTGCTGGTTATGACGGAAATTTAATGGCATTTTGGCTTTAGAACCACATTGGCTTTAGAACCGGTTTAGAACCCGAAATACCCTAAACTCGATTGGCCCAAAAACTGAAATTGGAGGATTGCAAGAACTCATCACCAGACTGGGTATACCAATTCAGTTCCAACCGGTTCCGGTTCTTTGGTTAAATCGTTCATCCCTATATAAGATCATATGACTTGGTGTTTGATGATTTGTCCACTAGTAAAGTTCACAAGCAAGCAAATTAACAAGCACTAATCATGAATTTTTTTTTTTCTTTTAACTAATCTTCACATTTCTCCCAAGGAGGACTTTGAACCCTCTACAATCACGTTACCAAGTAAAGAAAGAATGACCATTTTGGTGAAGGATGTTAAATAAAGGTAAAAACAAAAAAGTTAAAAAGTAAAATATAGATAGAGGCTTCAACATAAAAAGAAAAAATGGTAGATACCATTTTTGGATCCCACAAAAACCAAGTGGATTCAATAAGGATCCATCAAAATACATGTTACCACCAGCTATCATCTGGGAACTACCAGACATCCATTGTCCATGGCTCCTTCCTTCAAGGTGGTGCTGTACAAACCCTAATTTTTTTCCTGCAAATCAAGAATTATTATTTAATATTCATAACCCACATAAGTTTAAACTTTAAATTTAATAGGTCATCAAGCATACCTCAAAACTATTTCTAAACTATCAACAAATCCACTCCCTTCTTTTGCAGAAGCATATCTCATCAAAATCAAACTCCATGCTCATTTTTTTCAAGCTTGGCCTCCAGCTCTCTTACCTCATTTCCTTGAAGCTAAAATGGATCAAAAGACAAAGGGTTCAATGCACAAATATATATTAAAAAAAAAAAAAAAAAAAAAAAAAAAAAAAAAAAAAGTATATGTGTAAAAATTATGACAAATTCTAACCTCGTGAACCATCTCCCACCATTTTTTGGACTTTGATTGCATTAAAAACCACTCCATGGCCATGTCATATTCAATAGTATTTGGTTGTGAAAAATGTGATGTGGATACTGCTTCTTCCTGAAGAATCAAACCAACAAATCATCAATTCACTAACATATCACATGCATACATAGACACATATTGATAAGAGAGAAAGAGAGGGAATATATACCATCTCACGTTGATTGATTTTAATCCTATCAATAGAAAGATGGCCAAAAAACTTGCAAGTTTTTCTTGGTATGATTGGAGGACAAGGGGTACCAACAAGAGGCCTGTCAATAAAAAATGATAATTAGAATTTTTAATATAACATGAACAAGAAGTTTCAATTATAATTTTCAACCATAAAAAAAAAAAAAAAAAAAAGCTAAAAAAAACTACCTCCCATTTGATAACATCAAGCAGTCTTCATCCAGTTTTGCAAGGACCCTTTGTGCTGCTTCCTTTGTCTTGAGTAGAACAAGAGCTTGATCTAAAAAATAAAAGTGTATAACTCTCGACTTAGAGTAAATACGTTTCCATTTCCTTTTCCAAAGAAAAAAAAACAAAAAAACTTACAACAGTGTGGGCTAGATATTACAGAGCATGGTAGAATCTTGGCTTCACAGTTTTCCGTAAAAGCATGCCAAACTAGATCCTAAGATGAAAAAACAAAACAGTGACATTTAATAAAAAGAAAAAAACAACATACAATTTAATATTAATAATTAATATTATACCTCAACTTCTCCTGAAGTATAGTCTGGATCAACATTATGAAGCAGTATGGCTGATCCTTGATCATATGCACTCTTTAAACTTTGCTCCCAAGGCTACATACATCAAATTGAATACACCACCAAATTAAAACAAAATGGAAAATAAATGAGACTTGTACTAAATTAGGTTATCAAATAACATCATATACTTACAAGTCGCTCAAACCAACCGCTTTCATCCTGTAAAAAAAAAAAAATTATGTCCTTATTGGAATAAAAGAAAATGACAATTCCTAAAAAGCAACTTACAGCATTTGGTTTTGGACCAACAACAAATTCCTTGTACATGTCCTTGGGTGATTGGTTCATGGAAAGCTTCTTTTTGCTCTCATTGGATTCAGATTGCTTCTCCTTATTAATATTATTATTATTATTATTATTATTAGTCCCAACAGCAATAGGTTTTGATTTTCCTTCACTTGCTATTACCAAATTCTTCCCATTACTTCCATTGGAATTAATGGTAGAGGTGCTGTTTTTCTTATTATCTGGTATCTTAAAAGAAGCTTCAGCCTTTGTTTTCTTCAATCTCCTGCCTTCCAATTCATCTGAAATCTTTCCCTCATTATTATTATTCTTTCCGTTTGCTTTTTCTTCTTGTGTGCCTGATGTTCCCAAATTATTCACATTGCGAGCTGACTTAACTTCATCTTTTGATTTCTTGGAGGGCAAATCCGTCGATTTCTCAATCTTTTCACCTTCAACCTCAACCTGTTTTTGTTTTTCATTGGGTGCTGACTTATCTTCAGCTTTAGATTTCGATTTCTCAATCTTTTCACCTAAAACCTCAACCTGTTTTTGTTTTTCATTGGGTGCTGACTTATCTTCAACTTTAGATTTTAATTTCTTAATCTTTTCACCTACAACCTCAACCTGTTTTTGTTTTTCATTGGGTGCTGACTTATCTTCAGCTTTAGATTTCAATTTCTCAATCTTTTCACCTTCAACCTCAACCTGTTTTTGTTTTTCATTGGTTGCTGACTTATCTTCAACTTTAGATTTCTTGGAGGGCAAATCCGTCAATTTCTCAATCTTTTCGCCTTCAACCGCAACCTGTTTTTGTTTTTCATTGGCAACTTTAGACTTCATTTTCTTTAAGGGTCGATCATCTAGTTTATCTGATTCCATTGGAGTCTTTTTTCTCTCCTTAGAGACTTTACTCACTTTTGTCTCATCTTTCTCTTTACTTGACTTCAAATTATCCTTGTCAGTTTTAACAACAGAAGTATCAGTTTTACCTATTTCTGAAATTTTGCTACCTGTCCTCACATTATTGTCAACCTTGGATTTCTTGGAGGGCATCACATCCTTCAATCCCACAGAATCCCGATCAACTTCTACTACTTCAACCTGTTTTTCCTTGGGAGGGTTTTTATCAGCAAGTTTCATTTTCTTCGAGGGCTGCTCATGTAATTTATCAGATCCTGTAGTAGAACTCTTCTTTCTCTTGTTAGCTTCCATCGCATCCTTATCAGCTTTTTCATCTATTTTGGGATTTGTTTTTTCTAAAAGAGCTACAGATGTTGTTTCAGCCGCCAAAATTGGAATATTTTTGTCTTGAGCATCATCATCTTTAAGGTTGTTAGTGTTAGGCAGGGTTTTTGTTAAAAGCAGCTGCTGCTTTGGTTCACTACTAGTAGTAATGGTAATGGTGTTGTGGTTTTCCTCCTTTTTGTCAGTAGAGGTAGTAGTAGTAGTTTCAGGGAGAGTGCTGATGCTTTCATCCTCCCTTGTGTTAAATATGTGTTTAACTGTAACAAAGTTGAAAACTGAATACAAGAATTGACCTAGTTTTGAAAAGCAAAAGTTTAAGGTGGAAGAATATTCGAGTAGACAAGACATACATACTTTCAATCCCACCGATTTTTTCTTCATCCATGTTATCCAATATTGTACAGCTTTCAACATCAAAAGTACGATAAAAGATGAAGTCTGCTGCTTTAAGTTCTTCATCTGAAGGTTGAGGATTCCTCGGGTCCTTTGACACACAAACAACATTGCATTTGCCAGCAATGGCTTCCTGCTCAAATAATAATGAGAATTAGCATGTGTTGTGAGTCATCACACTCATCCAACATACATATATAGGTTGAATTCAAAACTTTGATAAAAAAGCCACCCGTATAAAATTTTCCCCTTGGTTTCAATAAAATCTTCTCGTTGCACAAAAGTCAACTATATGTCTTAATGTAAAATGTCATCATTCTAAAAAAAACATTCTTTATGGACATAAACTCTCCTTTGAATGCAATATTTGCTCTCTGATACATACTTCTACTCTACCATCATTACGTACAAATACAATGACAAACTCCCAGGTATCTAACCTAGCCTTTAGCTCAATCCTAAATTCCAATGGGAAAAACTGTCACCAACTAGGGTTTAGATACACGTCATGTCATAGAGAGATAGATAATATTTATCGCATATAGCCCTCGCTTCTAGTATGCTTCCAGAGTCCTCCAAATCATCTCTCATGGTACACTATCATACAATGTTTCCAGGCCGATAAAACATCATATGAAGATTCCTAATTTCCTATTTCTTCCACTATTTTTATCTAATGGAATATGGTCGCACCCCCATTTTATTCACGTGAGATACAAATATTACAGTTTTGGTACCTCAAGTATTATAAACATGACAATATATAATCCCTAGTCTAATATTATCATCCATATGGCGACGCCGCCTGAGGAGGTAGAGTCATCGACCTCCCTAGCAAGAAGTCGATTTAATTTTTTTATGCGGTTGGCGACTTAACCTCCAACACTCTCTCCTATAGTTATAGTTTCAGGGTATGACTAAGAAGCTTTCTACCATGACAGTTGTCATTTATTATTGTATATTGGTATCATAGTACTCGATCTCTCCACTCCTTTGGCATTTTGGTCGTTGTTAAAATAATGTGAAGAGGTTTGTCACCACCAAACTCCCTCCTACCCACCCACAACACAACCACACACCGATAGGGATTCAGTCTAGACCTATGGTTTTGTCCTTCATCATCCATACTGCTCTCTTCACTTGCTCATTTTTAATCTTCATGCAGAAACACTAACTTTATGTTTGTTAAACGTCGTTTAATGCCATCCACATTCTTATCCCTCACCAAACAAAGTTGCCTCGTTATGTAAAAGACAAAAAGTAACTTAACCACCTTCCTCTTAATATCCTTATCTTTTACTACAACACAATCGTTGTCATTCTTAATATACCTTGCATTTCCTATATCCCTTTTTCTTTGTTTCTGGCTTTTGTGTCCAATCATATGTACATCCCTTCATATGTTTTAACGCTTGTTTGGCATCCTTATATTTTTCCTTTGCCCCACCTCTTTCCCTATCCACTCCATAAAAATTCCTTAAAGCGAGTTTATTTTACCTACACCTAAACTTGGACCTCGCTCTATCATCATGATTCTTTATGCTTTCATACATGACGTTCAAAGTGCGTCTTTGGCAAGCTCTAGTGGTGTAGGCAACACTATTCCATAACAACTCTACAATCCTCAAATGATCATCTCCAAAATTCGTTTCTAGAACAACCATACTCTTAAAAGCCTCAGTTACCTCCAAGATTATTGTCACCAATAGTATTGTCGTGTTTGCTAAGGTGTAATCATCCGAGACAACACGTACTTTAAAGACAAAAAAAAAATTGCAAACAAACAAGTATGTCTATTTTTAAGAGGTATGCTAGCAAATGTTTATCAAACCGATAGTTTTTTTCGATAAGCACAAGATTTCACTCTTTGAATAGAACTAGCTAAACATACAAGTACCAAAGTCACCCTTTGCTAGTTGTTTTGCGACTTAAGACTAAGATACACAAATACATACTTGGTCCCATGTGTTAGGCCGACTTATCTCAAAAGAGCATAGACCTATAGTCCTAAACATCATAAGTCTATATTAGTTAACTTTTTCAAAACCATCTTCCATTCTAGAGTGTTTTTGATAGCTACACCACTATATGATTTGCAAAGAGCATACACAATAGACTTAACCTACGTCTTTTATGTGCATCTATCTATCTAAGGCACAAAAGAAACTTGAATTTGTGTTATATCATATATGGGAGACATAGATCGCATTATAATGTCTTCTTAAGCAAAATAGAGCTTGATTATGCATATCCTTAATTACATAAACATATTAGCTAATGACCATAGGATAAAGAACTAAAGCTATCTCTTTACATCGTCTCATGCTCCTCTAATCAATACTTTCATTGTAACGTTCTTGATATAGATAGTAAATGTAATACATTAATACGTTATTCCTAAGTCATTATGTTTCCTACATGCCTACATGGAGGATCAAGGAAAGAAATTAAATAGTTTAAAGAATCACAAAGAAGTTAATTTGGTATGTAGGCAAAGAAAGCTTGTTGATGGGGTAAATAACCGCTTGAGCACACTCGGTTCCATCTTATATTCGAAATTGATTATTTTTTTAATACTTGGCTAATTCAAAGTACTTATTACAAGATTCCAAATAAATGTAATAATGAGAAAGTCAAACATAACAAATATAGGTATCGAACATCTCTTAGAACGTCGAGTAGGTTTTATTATCATGATACTTCCAACATTTGTTAATAGTAGTTGTCATTCACTAATTATGACACGGCTAGTATCACAATTCCATAAATGATTGTACACAACAAATGCTCATACCAAGTTAAGTATACTTTACAAGATGCGATAGTAGTAATCACAAATTGTTAAGTGACAACTACTAACGAAACATAGAAACTTTGAAGTCACGCCGAGTAGTATCTTGTTCTCAAAAAATTTATAACTTGTGTATATATCCATAAAATAACTTGAGAAAAATAAATGATAGAAAATATAATATGTGAAAACTTCAATTACCAAAGGACTAATGTTGGTTAGACCAACACCTTCACCGGAGGCAAAAAGAATTTCATTCTCGAGAGTCTTTGTATCTCCAACCCACTTGGAGATCTCTTCTGGGCGAAAAAACCAATGGACTTTAACTTTCTTTGACTTGTCAGCATTCTCCCATATTTTTGTCAACTTGCCAATATAAGGTTCTCGTAAACCTTCCTTGTACATATACACACAATCATATAACACATACTCCACTCCGTCGTATATGAAAGATCCATAAAATTGAACCTCTTTATTTTTACCACCACGGCCTTTCTTTATAAGCCACTTAAACTCAAGGTTAGCATCTTCATCAACTTTTTCCATATAGAATATGCAACACTCCACCAATTTGATGGTAGATGCAAACAATTCTAAACCTGAAAACAAGACATAATTAAGAATACATCAAAATCTACAACTAGAATCATTTTGTTTAACCAACTACATGTCCGTCTTTAGCCATCAAGCACGAATACATTACTAACTTGATAGTAGTAACGTATGATAGATCCATCAACTCCCATCTTGCTTGTTTGCAAGTATAAGAAAGAAAACCATTAAGCATCATGCACTAATAGTCGAATACTAAACACTAACATTTGCATATGATTTAGAAAGGGAGAAGAAGAAAGAAGGGACCATTATGATATTAAAATCATGATATCTCAAGACGACTCTAAAAAGGATCGGAGATTAGACAAATATGAGCACAGCTCTACCATGTGTAAAGGTAGAGGTAGAGTAGGAGAAACACTACTAAAGCCAAACTCAAAACCATCGCCATGTAAATATCTTGATCGGAAAAAAAAAAAGGCAAACATGAAGTACGCCTTCATTACTATCTCAAACTCATTATTCATTTGGAATGCCAATAAGAAGGGAAGAAGCAAAAGAACAAAGATTGAGAAGTTATGATAACCTCATAAGGATATATATATAATGGGATAATCAATATGCATGCTTACTAATGCTTGGTTTGTCGGGTATAACATGAACCATATCCATATTCATTCCATCTTCATAAAGGAACTAGAAGGATCCTTATGATGACAATTGCCATTATCACATGAATAAAATAGTGACACGATATGACATAGTTACATAATGTAACAAGCATGGCCACAATCCAACAAAAAACCAATTTACATCACTTCCCCTTTCCATAAACCCCACTCAAGGTCGTTAAAATGGTCAACCTACAAGCAAGCTTAGCTATGGCCACAAGCTAAAACTAAATTGCATTCCAATTCAAACTATCAAACCCCTATCGCTAAGCATTAATTCCTTTGGTTTGCATAACTCTTTGCTGATTCTTAACGATTTCTACAATGTTAATAAAATCTCATGCCATATTGCTGATTGTACACCTAATGAATCTCCATCGACAAAAAAAAACAAGTTAGTTCGTCTCTAACCCTCGTGTTGTGGGTATAGCTTCATGTTCACCCTAAACGCCATGCAATAGAAAGAGGGGTAAATAAACTCCACATCGATAATTACACAGTGGTTAGATGGTAAAAAGTACCTATAATGTTTGTCGATTCAACACTTGGCTTTTTTTCTATGCTATGAATGTTCACTAAAATGCTTTTGTTGATAATATTGTTCAAATTGAAACATTCTGAACTAAATCCTCGTGTAGAAGTCCTTACAAGTTTTTATGTTATGGTCTTCTTCTAAATACTTACTTTTTATGGTTAGAAATTACAACCATTACATTCATTACTGTATCTATACAAAGTCCCATGACTTTGTTATTGAAAACTCTATTTTTGAATACCAAACACTTAAAAAAAGTTCCCAAATTTCTAAGGGACTCATACTATATAGGTAGAACTTTGATGCTATATTAAAGTGTTCAAAAATATAGTGTGGTTTTCAATAACAAAGTCATGGGACTTTGTATACATACACTAATGAATGTATTAGTTGTAATTTCTAACCATAAAAAGTAATTATTTTGAAGAAGACCATAACATAAAAACTTGTAAGGACTTCTACATGAGAATTTAGTTCAGAAAGTTTCAACTTGAACAATATTATCAACAAAAGCATTTTAGTGAGCATTTGTAGGTAGTAGGTACGATTATCCCGTCCGAATTTTGGTTTTTTCATTTTTAAAGATGTTTCACAATCAACAATATTAGTGTGGTTTTCATCCATTATCTTTGAATTACATAGTATCAACATTTAAACAACAAACCAATTTCATTAACCTTCCTAAATGATTACATCAATTTAACAAATTTCTTATCAATCTTTCATACGGTTCATGAACAATAGTTAATCAAAACAGAAAATTTTGAACAACAATGGAAGAAAACAACACAAATCAGAAGAAACAAATTGGAATCATTTCACAAATGGGTACCTGTTAACACAAATGGGTCCCTGTGAACAAAAAATTTATCACTTTAATCAATATTTCATCAATTTCACTAATTATTATTCAATAATTCATCAGTTTCACAAATCTATACCAGTTAACACAATATATAATCAATTTTCGTCAACATGGATCCATACACTCTCAAAGGTACGATAATCAATATTTCAGAACATCACAGGTATCAAAATGGAAGGAACAAATCACATACAGTGCAAGGAAAATCGAAAACCGAAATTTTCTTTGCTAATGAAAATCGAAAATCCACACAAACGAAAACAAAATCGGAGTTTAAACTAACCTGATCGGAGACGGAGAAAGGAGACGCCGGCAGAGAAGATCGCCGATGGCTTGAACGATGGATCGGTTAACGAAGAGAAGAGAAGAACGAGGGTTTGACAAAACGAGGACGAGAGTACTAGAATTAGGGTAGGTGGGTATAAAAGTAATTTAAGTTTTAAAAAAACTAAAACCTCATAAAAACCACTCAATGTATTTTCATAAAATTCTTAAAAAACCATTATATTATTTTTTAGTGTATAAAAACCCTTATATTTTCTAAAAATTTTATTTAAGGTTTTTTACACTTAGAAAACCATAAGCTATTTTTAAGAAAGGATTAAAAAAACCATTATATGATTTTTTTATAATACATTTAAACCCTCATATTTTTTTGAAAATTTTTATTCTAATGAGTTGTAACAATCAAAACATTGTGAATCAATTACATAACATTTTTAACTATCTAGGATTTATCAAGCTCAATACCTTAAATGATACTTTTTAAAAAAATATATGGGTTTTAACATACATTTTAAAAAATATATGGGTTTTAACATACAAAAAAAATATATAATGGCTTTTTTAAGACTTCCATGAAAATATATTTGGTTTTAATAAGGTTTTTCCTTTTCAAAACACTCATTTTCCTTATATCTAAAAAGTTTTTTTTAAGTTTTTTTCACTTTACCAAACACTTTTTAACTTTTTTTTAATTTTTAGAAAAAAAATAAAAGCTAAAAGTTATTTTAAAAGATAAAACAAACAACCTCTAAGAATCATTATTCTTTTACTTGATGGGTTTTCTGTAAAATCCATAAAGATTCATAGTTGTGCTTCAATAATCATCATTTTATGCATTATTTGGGGCCCTTGCTGATTTAGATAATTGGTGTTTCAGAAAATTAATGGATACAAATCCACACTTTTGAATATTGATTGTTTGAGATTAGTGCTTGACTTCTGCACTCAAATTGATCATTACTGATTACCACCTCCGAAATTATGCAAACTTCCTAATTGCTTATGAGAAACTCTGAATAAAACGTATAATTATTTAGAAAGATACTAAATTTAGATACTTGATATTGGATTAGTATCAAAATGCAGATAATTTTACAACCAAGTGGGTTTCAAGGATTTAGAGTAATGTTGCTTATTTATTGATTTGATTTGTATTTCTAAAATGTTGCAATGACTATGGTTTATGATTATGAAGAAGAGTGGTTTAGGTCTATTTTCGGTAACTCAAAAAAGGAGAACGCCATTCAGAATCAATACGAGTTTTTTGTGCAAAGAATGGGAGGACCTCATATGTTGTGACAACAGTCAAATTAAGTTAACGGGTGTCACTTGAGAACGTGACGTAAATCAAATGTAATAGGCTTAATTTGTAATGTTCGAACAACTTTTAATAAAAATACAAATTTTGTTTACAAAAAAAAAATGTAACCCTTGTAATTTCAACAAAAAAATTAACTAATTATATTTTAAGGCGTACATTATCGATTATCAAAAGTTAGATTAGTCATTAAATAATATATAATATATAATTGGTAAAATTTTATTTTATATAATGACAAATCGACATATAACACTTGATTATTTATATATATATATATATATATATATATATATATCATAAATAACCTTTCGGTCAATTTTATCTAATTACGTATCAATAATATTCAAATTAATATTTTAAGGATTATAGAGAGTCAGATACTTTAAAATGAATACTCTATTAATAAGAATATTAAAGCAAGATATATATGAGGAGGTGTGTTTAAAACAAACACGTATCATGTGGATAAGAATTATCACGTACATAACTTAGTGGCATAAGGTAACATGCATGTGGTATTCCATGAAGAATACGTCACAATAAAAATAACCATAAAATTACTATAAATAGAAGCAATCATCTTTTACATTTAAAATTCGGCTCATTTTCTCAGAAACATTCACCAATCCTTCTCTATTTCTTGGAGTTTTCCTCACTTCAAAGTTTCGCCCCTAATCTTTGATCACTTTCACACAGAGTTTATCGTCAAATAAAAACACGCTACAAGGGTGAGTTTCACAACTCCATTTTAAACTTTTTATCATTTTCTAGGGGAAGATATATGTTTTTATATTATTTACTTATATAAATTATGAATTGTTTATATCACTTATAATTTAGTTACATAATCGTTATAGCAATTTACCATTAAAACAGTCATTTAGATATATAAAATTTAGTAATCACTGTCGTTATGCTGCCCACATACTATAAAACTATATTATGCATTGTTGTTACTGTACCCACATAATATAAAACTATATTATGCATTATCGTTATTATGCCCAGATAATATAAAATTATAATATGCATTGCTGTTACTATACCCACATAATATAAAACTATATTATGCATTGCCATTATTATGCCCACATAATATAAAATTATATTATGCATTGCCGTTAATTTGTGAATAAATTAGTACACATTGTTGTTACTTTGCATATTTAAGTTTTACAAAATTATTTAATGATATAATTATAAAAATATTTTTATAATTATATAACATAAACCGATAAACATAAACCTATAAAGTTACAAGACTACAACTTTTAGCGCTACTCATTCAAGGGTTTACATGAGACACATTCATCACCTAAGTGTAATACTTAGTAAAATCCCCTACATATAATCGTTAAATCTTAAGTGAGCGGGAGAGTTATGTATAGATCTATACGGGCTGACACCCCACATGCGGTTGCTAGCTACAACTATCGACGGTCAAGTCACGAGTGATAACTGTCTAAACACTACGACGCCCGATGAAGCGCCGTGAGGGGCAACAACTCGTCTGTAACTCAATTATGGGAACTCATGTAACATTGATAATCATGCCTAAAAGCAAATATAGGTTTGAAAATACTTATATACGATACAACAAGTACTTTTGGAAATAAAGTACACATATAAATATAAGTTTGAAAAATACTTATATAAAAATATTCTTGGAGTAAAAAGTATTGTTAGGTGAATTTCATGTACCCATTTTGTAGTTTTAATCCATAAAAGTGCATTGCAGTTAGGTTTAAACTCATGCATTTTGCATGTTTTTCGGGATTTTTCATGAGGCAATTTCATTCAAATACTTTTGTGATATTTCAGGGACTTTTGGAGGTAGGATATTGTTGGAGGAGGTAAATAAAAGTTGCGGACAAAATTTCAGGACTTGCGGAGCACCGAGGAGCAAGATATCAAAGAAATGAAGATTTTGGCTTTACAGAGATTTACATGGCCGTGTAAATGCAAGCCTTGCGTTTACGTGGGCCGTGTAAACGTAGATTTTTGCGCAATATATTTTTGCGTTTACACGGGCCGTGTAAATGACAGTGTTAATTTACGCGAGCCGTGTAAACGTAAACGTGAGTTTTAAAGCAGTTTTCACCATTTTTAAAGGGGGAACCGACTTTTTACTTAGGGGGTCGACTTTTGGAGTAGAGAAGGCAAATTTCTTGAGGGTTGTGAAGTTGATTAACACTTAGGAACATTTGATTTCATTTTGTAAGAACTTTAATTTCATTTTCTAGATTTGTGATCTTGTTCTAGTCATGAGTGGCTAAAACCCTAGTTCCTCCAACTTCATGTCTTGACTTTTTAGTTGTGATTTTAATCATGTGATTTGATGTTTGCTTCTAATTCCTACCTAGTGAATTTGATTTTGTTTCAATTTAATGTTTGATTCTAATTGTGATTCTTATTGGCCATTTGAATTAGGGTTAGGTCATTCAAGTTATCAAATTGCAAAATACGTAATTGTTTTGTGAATTGAACTAAGTAACAAACACTAAATTGATTTCCATTGAATGAATTTAGTGTAAATCCTATTCGCATACTCTTACACTCCCAAGCTTGTGAGGAGTATTGGGTGTTGTTAGGAACATTCACATAAAGCTTATTGTAACCTTTTGATTTCTATCTAAGAGCTTGTTTAGAATAAATTAGAAGGTTAGGTTATTTTCAAAGAGCTTGTTTTGAAATTGACAACTTGGTGAATAGGAAGTGTTAGAACGTGTTAACACTTTCAAGTACCAACTTATGTGGAATTGAGTAGATATCATTTCATCCTTGGAATCACATTGTTAAATTGTCTTGCATAGAGTTGGAGTTCTCACAAATCCTGAATTTGTTTCATTTAATTGATCATTTACTTATTGTTTTATCCTCTTGTTTAAATCATTGCATACCAACCCCCCATTTATGTGACCATTATTGTACCTTCCGCAAAAAGGTATAAACATTTGTTCCGTGTCTATGTGGATCGACCCTGCTTACCTTGTATTACATTTCTAGTACGAAGTAGTAGTGTTTAACGAGTTATTTTACCCCTTTATTTGTTGGGTTTGACACACTCAACAAATTGGCGTCGTTGTCGGGGACTCGATGTATTTATTCTATTTATATACCAAGATTATCATGTATTTTTGATTGATTGATGCTTCTTAAGTCTTTATCACACAACTGGAAAATGATAAAGTTGAATGGTGTTTTCTTATGAAACTCGACAAAGCTTTGCCACCACAGACAGTTTTGCAGGATATTGACATACAAGAAGCATTTTTATGGTTGCAAACATTGATTGATGGGATTCAAGAGATTCAAAGACTACATATTCAAGTCCAAGCAAAAGCATCAATCCTCGATTCCCAGTTACGAGACCCACATGAGCACCACCTTGGATTACAACAATATTTTGAGCATCAACAATTAAATCCAGGTGCACATCTAATTCTAATTTTTTGCTCTTGATAAAAGTCAAACTTTTGAATTTGCAAGATTTATCAAGTTGACTGTATTTTGCTTCAAATTATTCAATCTGATTGCTTTAGTGGAAATTTAGGAGCATGCATGTTGTACTGTTTTGTCATTTGTCACTAGGTTTTGCTCGGTTTGACATAAGTTGACCATGGTCGACCTGACCAAGTTTTAATTTTGATGACTTATATCTATGTTTATGTGTGCATTCGACTTTTGGATTCATGTTTGATTCAGTCATAAATCTGCCATCACCTTTACTGGGACATCCCTATGTCCAGTCGGTCTATGTTACCACCTGTACGAGTAGTTTCATGTCCCGCTCCTTCCCAAGCATCGAGGACGATGTTACATCTTAAGCTTGGGGAGGGGTATGTATTGCATGTGCATTTTTTTTAGTTTGCATCTTCATTTTAGGGGTAAATTTTTTATTTTTTATTTTTTTTTCAAAAAGCCACAAAAATATTTTTGTTTTAGTTCACTATGCAACTTCTATTAAAAAAAACTACAAAAAGATTTTCCATTTTCGTTTATGTTTTTGATCCAACCATTACCCAAACCTTTGAAAAATAGTCCAAAATCAATAAATGATCCACATGCCTTGAGATTAGACTTGCTCATGTTATTGAAAATCTCAAAGCAAGCTAATCGCACACGAACACACCTTCCGAAGCTACTCGTGCAAAACAGAAAATGAGAAGATTGTCAGCATTGGAGCATAACAACAGGTATGAGTCAATTCTTTGGGACGCATGACTGGTCTTATGAGTAGTAAATGCTCAATAGAACTAAAAATGTCAAATTCAAAAATTCATAAAAAGAATACAAAATTTCAATGTCCCAAGCCTTCCAGCGCTCTGAAAAGTCATTTCTACTCATTCCCTTTTATATACCCTGCTTGGGGACACAATTTCCAACTATACCTACGGGTCTTTGCATGTTGGCTTTAGTCATCCGAAAAATGTCTATAAGCCTCTCACGGTAATAGACCGTGAGATGTCCCACA